GCCCCCCCTGCCCCCCCCCCCCCCCCCCCAAGTTCTTCCAGTGGCAGCAGAGGACTGGGGCCTGCCCCTCTGCGCTCCTTCTGCTATCCAGGGGTCACCTCCACCCCACACCCCCTTTCATAGGAGAGGGACTCCCCCTTGGTGGGGAGAGGACAACAAGTCTTTGAGGCTCATAAGCTGGGGGGCAGAGATGTTCCCCAGCCCTGGGAGACTTCCACTGTCCTGAGGTTGTCTCCAACTGGGCCAGGCAGGGGGGTGGGGGTCCTGATCCATCATCCAGCCAGGCACAGCATCACATGGTTAGTCCGGGGTGCAGGGGGGCTTGCCCCTTGCTGGGTTCTGGCATTGGTCCATCAGTGTGGAGGGAGGGGGGTCTGGCCATGTGTGGGGGGGGAACCCCTCAGTCCTGCCCCCCCCCATGCCTTGCACGCCTACTCATGGACATCCCAGATCTCAGAGAGCAGCGGTGGCAGCTTCTTGTCCTGCAGGCGGAGGGCAAAGACCTGCTCTGAGTGCACACTGCTCAACGTACGCAAGGCCACCAGCTTCAGCAGCATGCGGGGAAACATCAGCCGGTCCTGGAGGAGAGGGGGGGAGACAGAGGGTGTCAGAGCCAACCCCCCAAAAGCTGCCCCTACACTCCTACCCCCATGCCTGGATCTATCCACTGTCCCCTGTATCCTAGTGATGCTTCTGCCTTCTGTGCCCCCCAGCATGTGGAGTACATGAGTTAAAGCCTTGGGAGCTGTGGTCAGATGCGACAGTACCTGGCCTGCCACCAACATGGCTCTTTACCCCCCATCTGTAGAGGAGCATCATCCAGTCCAGGGCAGGCTAAGAAGAGGGTCTAGGCCAAGAGTCACCAGCTCCTGTCTGCCCCTGGCTGTCAGGATGCAATGGGGGCCCCACCTTACCTGGGGCCGCTGGATGCGGGTGTAGGCATGCAGGGCCTCAACGTAGGGCAGCTGCAGTGCCTCCACCTGGGCACGGTGCTGCACACCAGGCCGGTCACCCGAGAACAGGTCGATGGCGATGAGCAAGGCATACTCGGCATCATCCAGCTGCAGCCCTCGCATGCCCCGCGAGAACTCAAAGATGGGGTTGATGAACTCCACCTGCAGACCTGTGAGGCGCCAGGCCTCAGCGGGACCTGGGGGGCCCATGCCCCACCAGGACCCCCAGACCCCACTGAGAATGCCCCCTGCAGTCCTGGGATGTCCCCACACACCAGAACCCCTGAATCCACTGAGACCCCCCCACATGCATTACTAGGGAACCCCCCAAACCCCACTGAGATGCCCAAATCCTTTACCAGGAATCTTCCAACCCCATTGGTGAGAAACTCTCCAACTCACCAGGACCCCCGAGCCTTCATACCCCACCAGAAATCCCCATGCCTTACTGAGACCTCCCCCCTGCCCCCAAATCCCACTAGTCCAATCCTTCACCCCACTGAAAACCCCCATATCCCACCAAGACCTCCCCTGAAACTCACATCTCATTGGAAATCCCCTTGCCTTGCTGGGACCCCCCCATATCCCACCAGACATCCCTGAAATCCCAACCCCCTAGGAGCCATCCCCATGGCCCATCCAAGTTGGGATTGATAGCTTCCTCCTTCACCCTGCAGGACATGGATTGAAGACCCAACAGCCCTTCAAGAGCTCCCCCCAGAGGCCTCCTCTGAGCCCCTATCACCCCAGCCCCTATTACCCCCCATTCATACCCCCAGAGCTACCCTGATCCCCACCCCCTGCCTGCTGCACTCCCCTGTACCACCCCCTAGCTCCTCCATGGACCCTGTGCCAGCACCCCTGCCACTGCATACCCGCGCGGTGGAAGTCGTCCTTGCTGTATGTGAAGTCTTTCAGGAAGGTGATGCTTTCTGTCTCATGGTTGTAGCGCCGTGCTGTCTCCAGCAACATGATCTGGGGGGGGAGCAGGGTGGGCATGAGACCCCCTCCACCATGGGGCCACAGCACCTGCCATTTACTGCATGGCCACGGACCACCCTCGCCCTGGCAGGCACCAACATGCATGGCCTGGGCAGGCAAGCTGTGAAGAGCCCACTCAACATGGCCCTGTGCCCTTGCCCTCAACACAGCCTCCACTCTGTCGGTCCCTCCCTCCCCCCCAGTGATGCACCTCATAGAACTGTAAAATCAGAGAAGTCAGGACATAAGGGACCTCCAGGGGTCATCTAGCTCAACCCCCTGCCTGAAGCAGGATCGGTCCTATCCAGACCATCCTCTACAAATCCACCCTCTAAACTCTTAACAAAGCTACCGTCAACCCTGACACAAGTCATAACACCCAAACCTGGCACCGGTAAAGCAGGGGGACCGCAGCAACCAACATCCTGCTTCTCTAAAAGGTTGTTAATATACGCTCAAGAGATCCCAGGTAGAAGCCATGTCCCCACTACAGAAGAAGTCAAAACACCCCACATCATTATCAATCTGACCAGGGTAAAATTCCTTCCTGACCTCAAATATGGTGATTGGTCTAATCCTGAGCACAGGGGCAAGACCCTCTAGGCAGAAACCTCCAGCTTTGATCCCAACAGAAGCACTGACACAGCCCAGTCCCAATCCCCAGCCTTGGCTGCAACCA